GTTTTGCCGCAGGAGACGAAAAATACCCAAAGAATGTGATTTTATCAACAATGAAGTAAAATCAAGAAAAACGAAATGGGTACATTTGAAGGCCAATGTCTAGCGGTTCTAATGAGATAGAACACTTGGTTCTATCACTTTGGACAAAAAACTAGAAAGCTTTACAAAATTGTCTATGGATACTACAAAAATGTGTTCGGGTGGTCTTATTCGTCAGGCTCATGCGGACGGCACTTCCACTTCAAACCCAATCAAATAACATTTTTAAACTCAGTTTTCAATGCCGAACTAGAAAATAATCCTTTAAAAAAATTGTTGAAATATAACTAACCAAAAACTTGAAAGTTTCTCATAAAAAAACATTTTGAGCCGGTTTTAACTGTTTTGTCACCACCCCAAAGTCTCTTGGTTTTTTATTGCTAAAATGTAATCCAATCGATTTAAAAATAACATATTTATAACCAACTTTTCATGCTCTATCGAATGGTATATAAATGAAATGAAAATAAAATTTGCTCGAATTTTGCATTATGTGCACCTTACTATTAAAAGAGAATATGAAAATCAAACAATAATAATTAAAATGTATTAACCATAATTCGTCATTGTATCATATCCGATAGATATCTTGTTCACAGAATCTATAAATCTAAATCAATTCCGCCAGTACAGAATCTGAAACTTTGAGAGTGATAATTTATTTTCATTATAAAATATTTTTATATATTAGTGAGTTATGCATAAAGTTTTAGTTCATCTTTTATTATGTACAGCGCCATCTCAAACTGTCTTATAGAAAGGAATTTGTTTTATAATTACTATATCCGATAGGATTGGTGTCCTATTTTTTATAGAAACTCAATTGTGGATTTGATCAACGTACTCGTTGCTCTAATAGTTATTGATAAGAATAGATCATATGAAAATGTATTGAAAGTTTCAATTTTTTTTTTCGATTATTGTATTTTCATGATGAATTTTTAATGCAATAATTAATGGGATTTGAAATATAATAAAAAAAAAAGAACCATCTGATCATTGATGATAAGTCGATTATTTAATATTTATTATAATTAAAAGTTTTTATCAAAACATTGAATTGTTAATATATTATTCAATTAATTATAATTATTACATCACGAGATTAATGATATATTTAATATTCAAAAATTAAAAGAGATATTATTATTAATTTAAAATCGTATATTCAATATTATTATGAAATTAATCAAGAATAAATCTAAACAGTTTGCTTTTAAAATTAATTCATAAAGCATTTGTCTATGGACTTTTAAAATCTATTGTCCTATAGCAATACATACCAATCAGGAGAACAGCAAATTTATTTTGTACATTCTTATAAAAAGATCTTTGAATAAATTATCAATCAAAAGAAAAAAGAAACATACGTTAATATTCATCATGTTCTAGTATTTTTTAAAATTCAATTATTATCTATTTTACGTATTTATAAATTGATAAAGACTAATTGAAAGATAACATTTGTTTTTATCTTAGAGGATACAAATGAAAAACAAAAACATGATAAATAAAATAATTGTCAGATAAATTTATCGAACAACCGATTAAATTTTAATCATAAGAGGTGTGACTTACATCTATTAGATAAGAGTGTATTATTCATTTTTATTACCATAAATTTTAACTGATAAGAGAATATTCACATGTGTCAATTCAATTTTTAACCTTTATTGAGTGCAAATTATAGACCTTAGTGACCTACATCAATCATACAAAAAAAAAGACTTCATGTTGATGTTCTATTTCTAAGGAGATCGAACGTTTTTTTTTTTAGTGAATTTTCACTGTAGAATCCTACATTTACAGTAAGACTATATTTTCCAAATTTCAATTTAAAACTTTGCCTGCATAAAGACTTCGATTCCATGAACTTGTATAAATAATTTCAGAATTTTTGAATAAAGTCTCTGCAAGATATAAAACTTTCAAAAAATACACATTGTATATATTATCTATGAAAAAGGGCATGTCTCCGAACACACGTCATAGCCGCGATCTGTGTTATATGGTTGATACAGTTCACTAAGTTCTACTGCATGTATCAAGTAACGGTACAATAACAAGTTGACATGTAAAAATATTTTTTTTGTATGAGATAAATAATGGTATCAGGAGATTTTTATATTGTAAATTTTTAAATATTATTATTCTTATAATTGTGTTTGTTAAACTAATGTAAATTCACTATTTCATAGAGTTAATAAAAAAAAATATATATGGAACTATATTATTATTGTTTGTTTATGTTACATATGATTATAAAGAATTTTCACTGTTATCATATGAAATTAAGTTTAAGACAAAATAAATACATTTGTAAATATAACATAGTTAAGATATACTATCATAGAAAAGTTTTTACTATTCTTTAGATTTTATTTTATTTTTTATTCGATATTATAAATTAAATTAATCGTTTTTCATATTCTGAATATTGTTTGAAAAAATCGAAACTCGAAGAATTATTCGCTCGAGGTAATATTTTATTTAGATCTTATCTTTCAGAGAGTTATTTCGAAACATCAAGAGTACGAACCAAATGTTCGAAAGGGCACCGAGCCCTTGATTCTCACACTAGATAAAACATTGACTCGAGCTGATAATAATCATAACATTATGTGGGAAATAGAAAATCTTTCAACGATAAAATTCAATAGAATTTCTCAGTTTACATCCCTCCGATAGAACGTGACTATATACAATAGACACATTCTATCGACAATGATGATCCAGATTGCAATGCGTATGTTAAAGAATTCATAAAATCATGATAATAGCAATCCTACTGTGATCATCCTTACACAATGTTTGTAATAGAAATTCTTCAATAATACAGGTTTTATTATAACGCAGAAAAAAATATAAATATAAAAATATATACAACAAAGAAGTTCTCGGCTTTGAACCAAATAAAAAACAAAACGAAAGCACAACGGTGACGGCAAACGCTAGTCTACTGAACCAAAAAAAAAAAAAACAAATATTTACATTTAAACATTTTTTTGAATATTTTAAAAAGTAGATTCTTCTCGATATTTTTCCGTTACACGATCAGCCATTGATGTTAAATTATCAAGTGATCGAAAAAGACCATAATAATGATATTTAAGTTCATCTTTAATGCTTTCATATGATGCAGCAGCTGATGATGTTGAAATTCGATCAAATTCATCAGACGATACTGTTGATGATGCTGATGAAAATTGACTAACATCATAATGTGGAATCATAATTCCTTCATCATCATATGAATATTTCCTAAATTGTTCTCTCGAATTATTATTATTTTCATCATCTTCAGCAAATGGATGTGTACGTTGTAATTGATTTCTCATATCTCGAATAAATGTATAAATATCATGCCAACTATCTGGTTGAACAGAATTATCGAAGACAGTTTCTTTAAAAACAAGAAATAAAATTCTAATATATTAAGAGAAAAACAAGAAGAAGAAAAAAAATCTTTACCTTCAACTGACATATCTTTAAGTCTTGATGGTAACATTATTTCTTCTTCCATAGTTTTTGTTGCTTGAAAAAAATTATTTATTGTATCAATAAGAAGTGGCGAACATAAAGATGGTGATGCACGTGCATTAAGAAAATCATTATTTATTGGTGCATGAGTTAAACGACGTTGATTTGAAGTATAAGAATTTTGTTTTTGTATTGGATTTGATGTAGATGATCGTCTGACTAATTTTTGAATAGGTTGAGATGTTTGTTGTTGTAGTTTTGATGAAATTAAATCAGACGAACTGTTTGTTGGTGTCATTGTAGTACTGCTTGATGTCATATTTGTTCACTAATGAAGCCGATATATTTGTGGCAATCTACTTATAAGCAAAAAAGAAAGAACGAGAGAAATAATAGAAAGCAAGAAAAAAAACAACATCAAGGCTGAATTTTTTTGCTTTTCTCATAAAAATACGACATGTTATAACGAAGAGAGAGAGAATAATAGACGAAAAAGAGTCATAGAAAAGAAAGAGAATATTCTACTTCTTGCGTCTACGCATATAGAACGTTGTAAAACCATGCATTGAATGAATGATACTAGGATGACCATCATTCGATTTGCGCCACAAAAAAAAAAAAAACATTTTGTTTTTTTCCAATAAGCGATACTGAATGTATATATAATAATAAGGAAGTAAACATGATAGAAATAACCTATACTTATAAAAGTACGAAAGATTATGATTTAAATTTAAGATGAAGAAGAAAAAAAAACAAACAAGAACATTTTATGAAAATGACAAATCATTCTTTTTTTGACCTTGTATCTAATTTAATTTGTACCTACATATATATATATATGTTGTAGTCATAATAAAAATTCAGTCAAATTTAAAATTTGACTGAATTTTAATTTTGACCACATATACATATTTAAGTCGTTATCTTGCGGGGTAAATCTTTATATATGTATAATAAATTATTCATAGTATAATACACCTCCACTAGACAATGAGTAAAAAAAACATAGACGTCATTGTCATTCTAACAGTGTATTTAATTTTAACATACGTAGAAATATATTAGTCAGATGTTCTATTCTAAACTTTTTTCGTACAAAAAAACAACAAAATCATCTTTTTGTCTTCCCATATTATTATTATTGGATGTTTATGACGTGATTACAATAAGCAATGTATACGTGATAACTAATAATTCTGTATACAAATATCATGATCGACACTTTTACACATGTCTGCATCATCGATTATTATCGACGAAATAAAAAGAAGGTCACTCGTATTTTTTTTTTTTCATACAAAAATGGTAAATATTAAAACTAAAAAACAACAAAACACGTTCTAGAAAATTATCAAAATATTTCTACGTAGTCACAATAACTGTAGTTTGAAAAGAAACAACAATGACAAGAATGAAAAGAAGTTATCAACGAATGCATGTGTTTATTTGAATAAAAAATAAAATTTTAAATAATAAATATTATTTTTATGTTTATGAAAGATATTCAAAAAAAACAACAATTCCTAAATTAATCGAGATGATATTACAAATTGAATAACAGATCTTTTTAAAATCTTTTCAAATTATATTCTTCTTTTAGTTTCTATATAACTTGAGTTAGTTTTTTCGAAAACGACTTTCTATTGAAATAAAAAAACCTATATTGATAAATAACAATCAAAACCATTTATGCTAAACATAAATCATTCAGCATTAAATGTTTGAGAGGATTAAATGACCTTATCAAAATAGATGGAAGGAAAAAAAAAAGGTTTTTTTTATATCGGAAATTAATTTATTTATCACATACTGTAGAAAAATTATTATGTGAGAACATATGGGCTATGAGAGTAAGTGTAAATAAATACTCGAATGTTCTAAATTTACTTTTTTTTTTACAAAATATTTAAAGAGATTAAATATATGAAATCAAATATTTCTTTATTATTCGATCGAAAAAAACAAGATAAGAATAGCACAATTATGTATTGATTCTAGGGTATGCTTTACGACGCCATTATGTTTTTTTTTTATAGAACGAACAAAAGTTAATCGTAACGTCGTAATAGAAGCGTTTTAACCAACAGAATAGATTTTATTATGAATCTTTCACCTTTACAGAACTCATATGTTTTATTATATCAAGATAAAACAACTAAATATAGTTTTGGTTTTATAAACTTGTCAGATTTCAATAGAAATAAATTCAATATTTGAAAAAATGATATCTATTAGTTCACGTAAAAATTCAGAATATATTTTTAATATAAAGACAAAAAAAAAAGAATTTTTTCACAAATGAATTTATTAATAATTTGATAGAAAAATCATAGACATATATTTCTCATAAATTTACAATTAATATTTGAATTAGAAGAATGTTTAGTTGAATTATTAATAATAAAAAATATATTATTTATTTCTATGAATTTTCAATTATTGCAAATGCTATTCTAGGTCAGATAAATATCCTTCTTTTTTTTTTTATTTCTTAAAATTCTTATTAATTTTATTTATGCTTAATATTATTACATAATTTCATCATAATGATAGAAATAACCGTGAACATTTATTAATTGAATAAAAATTAATTAATAAAAAAAAAACGAAATCTTAAACAAGCGATTGCAATACGATATTTTCTTATCATTGAAGGTTTATATGTAAATTATGATGATTTATGTCCTTTACAACATATGGTGCAATTAAAATATAAATATCGTTTATTTTAGTACATTGCAAAAAATAGGTCATAGTGCCACAGAATATTATAACATTGTCTGACAAAAAAATTGAGTTAATATGATCAGTAGAAGAATATTCTATTGATTCAATAAGTGATCTTGTTATTGATTATCAACATTTATGGACTCAGGATTATTATTTTTTCAACGTCATTATCACTAATACTTATTGCATCAGCTATTACAACATCAAATATCTTTAATAAAATATTTCTTTTTTTTTTTACAAATTAATTCAATATAATTAAAAATATAGAAAGAAATTGTTAAATTTGCTACATACATGATAAAACTTTAATTATTGCAAAATATTTCAATGATCATCATCATCATTTAAGTGAACCATCGATAGATTTTGTATTAAATATAAAAAAAATTTTTTGATGTAATATATGCATGATTAGATGCACTTTTTCTGTCAGTTAAACAACACTCGACCTTTTATTTCGTAGTGCAATCTCGTGCTATCGTTTTATTGCGTATGGTTAAAATATTTTTTTTTTGTAATAAATAAATTAATACAAAAAAAAGAAAACAGCAACAACAACAACAGAATAGCAATATTCATAAACTGCAGCAGTATTGACCTAGATTTGCTCTTAATCACGTGTCAATTATCTAATAAATGTATGTCGCATTAATGAAAAAAAAAAAAACAAATACATTTATTAAAGATGGCACTGGATATAAAGGCTCTGTCATGAGATATATAGATATTTATAAATATTAGAGGTTCTTTTTTTATTAATGATAGTTTTGTTTATAGATAATCTGACGAATACTAATAAACATGAAAGAACACATCAAAAGAAATAAGATAAAACCACACTGTAGAATAGTGTATAAGATAACATATTTATTACATACAAAATCCTTCGAACAAAAGAGATTTGTGTGGTAAGGTTTTTTTTCGTATTCTTATTGAGAAAGAAAGTTTTAATCATTATTCTATCTTGCACATCTCTATCAAACAATATAAATCACTAAAAATTCTATTCATCACAATAAAACAATTATCAAATAAACAAGTTTCAAACAACACACGGACTATTATCAATAGAATTAAATGTAAATGTAATTTGTCTCTCATTTAAATATTCATTCATATATAATAAAAGATAGAGAATTTCAAACTTTTCAAAGTTAAAAACTTCACTTTTAAAAAGAATATTTTGCCTTTGCACGACAATCCAAATATTTATATATCCTGTATATTCACACAGCAATACATCGCTGTTTGTGCTTTACAAAACTATGAAGAATCTTGAAAGCAGAGAATTTTGTCCTTGTTATGGCTGATCCATTTTCGGATATCGAAATTTTACTGAGGAATTGAAAACACCATTCTTAGCGATTTTTTAAGCAATGAAGCTTTTTCCTTGAGTCAAGTCCTTATTTGTACACCAAAAAAAGAAAATACATAGTTTCGTTTTTTATTTCACCAAAATTCACAAATTTAGAGAGCTTGTAATTCTCTATCCTTCTATATATAAGGGACTATTATTTTATATGAATAGTAAATGATTGAAAAATTGCATTTACCATTAGTTTGATTCTTTATAGCCCACCCTCAGCTAGACTAACTAAAACATAACATACGATGCAAAAGTAATGACACAAAATGTCGCTCTATATATTTTTTTCATAGGCACCACCCTGGAAAGAAAATTTTTTGTTTTGGCAATGCTTAGGAAGTTTTCTTCTCTTTCGAACTATGTACGATTTATTTGTATCAGATACTTATTAAAACAGAACAGTATGAAAAGAAATAAAAGACATTCTAAAAATAATTTTGCACTTTTTATATATATATTTCAAAATAACGGTGCAAAATATTAACTACTAAATATCTTCTTTTAACATGTATTAGAACGATAATTTTTTATCTGGTGATAGGAAACTTTCCCTCTTACGAACTGTATATAATTTGTTTTTGTCACATGGTCATAAACAAAAATGACATCATGGAAATAGCAAAAGTCTCGACAAGAAATATTTAATTGTTTCTGCTCAGTTTTAGAATAATGTGGTTTTAATAAATCAAACCAAAATAGAAAAATCTTGATTTTGATTAGTTTTTTAGAGCGAATGGAATTAATCTTTTAATAGTAGTACATCTTGATAAACGGCTTTGTTACTTTCATGAATATATACATGCAAAATTCTTGTCAATATCATAGCTATTCAGACCATAATTTTCGGTGCAATTTTTTTTCTTCGTTTTTAATTTAATATCGACAGGTGTTGTGTTTGGATCAACTGACTAATAACATCCAACGTCAGTATTCGTTAATGTAAAATACTTTTCATCGCCAACGATGATATCGCAATTATGACAAATCATATTGTATAACTTGCAAGGGAGAAAGGGCAAACTTCCATAATTCAGAAGTACATTTTTCTCCCTTCCTTTCACGTCGCATCTGATGCCTGGTATTCAACCATCGCGAGCTTTTAAGTGCTTCACTTTATCTGCTCACGAACAAATTACTTGATAACTTGACAGTAGGCTTCTTCACATTTTCTGTCGCATCCATGTCGATTTGACGTGTTCATTCTAAAAAGCCAACGT